GGAGCCTGTGAGTACAGAAGCTGGACCGATGGGCTGACAGGGAGCTAGGGAAAAATGTGGCCAAGAGATACAGAGGCTGGAGCTGGGAGCTGTGACAGGGTGGACCACGAGTTGGGTGCCAAGGAGGCCAGGCCAAGTCCAGTCTGGAGCAAACTACAGAGCAGGTCAGCAAGCCACTGTGCTCTGTCCTCCCCACCCCACTCCACTAGCTCTTTACCTGCAGACACATTCACACTTTGTGATTTCAGCCAGATTCACCTAGGTTTGCACGCTTCCATAAACCAGCCTGCTTCGGTACCCCACTACACACATCTCAACATATTACCACATCTGAAGCACACAAACACATTTTTGTCCACTCTTATACCCCAAGGTGTTTGTGTTTATAGGCACAGTGTTTTTTTAACATCATAGATTTGTAGCAATTCACCTGTATCCAATTCTACCCAGCATCATGAGGTCTATGAGGAGGGGTGGAGACAGCTCCATGATGAACCGTACCTTCACATACACAGGTGTTTGACAATGACATCTCCTATATCGAGGGTGGAACAGCCAGTGGGTTCTACACTGTAGAGGACACGCACTACATCACCAGGTGAGGGTGTGTGGGGGATGAGTACTGATCTCAGACTCTGCTGGGATGGGTTGGAGGGGGAGGATCTGAGGAATAAATTGGCCCCTTGGTCCCATAATGAGCCATTGTTGTCTTGGTTCCCAGGATGTACCGTGTGTATGGGAAAAAGAACATTAAGTTGGAGCCTGTGCCCCTCAAGGGAACCTCCCTGGACCCAAGGTGAGCCCTTATGTGAGGTGGGGGTCTTGATGCTCAACCTCCTTTCTACCTGTAGGGGACATATTAGCGCCTCCTAAAGAAGAGCTTCTCTAGTCTAACCCTTCCTTGTCTCAGCTGGCAAGAGGGCCCACTCGGAAAGGGGGGCTAAAGCCCATAATGATGGATTTTTTTTGGTTGATTGGGGGCATGGGAACATCATTGTACATCGCTTTGTACATTGTACATCACAGCTCTTTCTCTTGTCCCTCTGGCCCAGGTTTGTCTTCTTGCTGGACCGAGGGCTGGACATCTATGTATGGCGGGGGGCCCAGGCCACACTGAGTAGCACCACCAAAGCCAGGTATGAGGGTACTGTGGGATGCTTTGTGCAAAGGAAAGGTGTCACCTGAGAAGGAGCATGGTCACTGAGGGCTTTGTGGCCCATCCTCAGGCTCTTTGCAGAGAAAATTAACAAGAATGAGCGGAAAGGGAAGGCAGAGATCACACCGCTGGTGCAGGGCCAGGAGGCCCCAGAATTCTGGGAGGCACTGGGTGGGGAGCCCTCTGAGATCAAGAAGCATGTGCCTGATGACTTCTGGCCACCCCAGCCTAAGCTGTATAAGGTACACTGGACAGTGGGGTACACGGCTGACCTATGTGACCAGGTGTTGGGAGAAGGGCCAGGTGGACTTTGGTAGGGAGAGGGTGCTACCTTCTGGATGAGGAGCAGCCTGAGCATCAGCTCTGAGCATAGTGGAAGTGCTTGTTTCTAGAAGGTGGGGGTTGGGGGAAACGGGCCTAGGTGCTATGGCTGGAACCTAGCTTTAATTTTGTGGTTGTTGGGAAACTCTGGAGGTTTCCTGAGGAGAAAGGGGACAATTTAGGAATTAGAAATGACAAAGGGAAAGAGAAGACAGGAATGCGTCTGTTAAAAGCCCCACCACTAACAGCACAATGGTTGAGTGCTTGCCTAGCAGGCATGAGGCCCTAGGTTCAATCCCTAGCACCACAAGGAAAAACAAAGCTGGGCATGGTGACACATGTCTATATTCCCAGTTATTAGGGAGGCCAAGGCAGGAGGATCACAAGTTCAAGGTCAGCCTGGGCTGAGAAATGGGCAGTTTAGGGAGATCCTGTCTCAACATAAAAAGGGCTGAGAATATACTTTGATCATGGTGGAAGGGGAAAACAGGTTGAGAGAGGAAGAGGCAGTGGACTTCAGCTGTACACCAAGGGAGGAGCAGACTCCAACTCAGGAGGGTGCTATAGACCCCTACCTTGCCCACTCTCTTCTCCTGCCAGGTGGGCCTGGGCCTGGGCTATTTAGAGCTACCGCAGATCAATTACAAGCTCTCTGTGGAACACAAGAAGCGGCCCAAAGTGGAGCTGATGCCAAGGATGCGGCTGGTAAGGCAAGCAGGATGATTGGGACCCAGGGCTGTCCAGATGGCTGGGTGCTGACCTCTGTCCTCTGCTCCTGCAGCTGCAGAGCCTGCTGGATACGCGCTGTGTGTACATCCTGGACTGTTGGTCAGATGTGTTCATCTGGCTTGGCCGCAAGTCTCCACGCCTGGTGCGTGCTGCTGCCCTCAAACTGGGCCAGGAGCTGTGCGGGATGTTGCACCGGCCACGCCATGCCACTGTCAGCCGCAGCCTTGAGGGCACTGAGGCCCAGGTGTGCTCCCATCTCAGGACGCCTGCTCCCCACAGTCCTGCAGACCCCGTCTTGCCCTGACTGTGGGTTGCATTACTCCTGCAGAGCTGGCCCAAACCATCTCCTTGTGGAACCACCTCTTCACAACCCATTCCATTTTTTTCTTAGTGAGACCTAGTGAGACTAGGCTGGGCTTCCCCGGCCCCTCCCCCAGCTCTCATCTAGACCCCACCACCTGGGCCCCTTTTCCAGAGCCTCATGGCCTCTCTCTGCTCCCCCACTAGGTGTTCAAGGCCAAGTTCAAGAACTGGGATGACGTATTGACGGTGGACTACACTCGCAACGCTGAGGCCGTGCTGCAGGGCCCGGGGCTGTCCGGGAAGGTGAAGCGTGATGCTGAGAAGAAAGACCAGATGAAGGCAGACCTCACAGCACTCTTCTTGCCCCGGCAGCGCCCTATGGCCTTGGCTGAGGTTAGGCAGGCTGGGGCAATGGGGTGGGGTGTGCGTGGCAGGGCAGAGCCCTGTGGGTGGGGCTTGGGGCCAGACCTCTGCTTGTGGCCCGCCAACCTGTGGGCCTGCAGGCGGAGCAGCTGATGGAGGAGTGGAACGAGGACCTGGACGGCATGGAGGGCTTCGTGCTGGAGGGCAAGAAGTTTGCAAGACTGCCTGAAGAAGAGTTTGGCCACTTCTACACGCAGGACTGCTACGTCTTTCTCTGCAGGTGCAGCAGCAGCATGTCCCCTTCCTGTCTTCTCCCTTGGACCTCTGGCCCCCGCTTACCTCTTCAACTCCTCAGGTACTGGGTTCCCGTGGAGTATGAGGAGGAGGAGAAGGAGGAAGGAAAGACCGCACCAGAGGGCAAAGAAGGCGAGGAGGGAGCAGCTGAGGTGGAGGAGAAGCAGCCTGAGGAGGACTTCCAGTGCATTGTGTACTTCTGGCAGGGCCGAGAGGCCTCCAACATGGGCTGGCTCACCTTCACCTTCAGTCTGCAGAAGAAGTTTGAGAGCCTCTTCCCGGGCAAGCTGGAGGTATGGTGCCAGTAGTGCTTGGGCCTATGGAGGGCGCCATACAGGCTGGGGGGCTGCTGGGGTCATGGAGCTTCCCCTGACACTTTGACACCTCCAGGTGGTACGCATGACACAGCAGCAGGAGAATGCCAAATTCCTGTCCCATTTCAAGAGAAAGTTCATCATCCACCGGGGCAAGAGGAAGGTGGCCCAGGGTACCCTGCAGCCAAGCTTCTACCAGATCCGCACGAATGGCAGCGCCCTCTGCACCCGGTGCCTGGCAGCAGGGGGCATGGTGGTTGCTAGGGAATTGGGAGCATTGCCTGACCCCTTGCTGACACCCCACTGTTCCCTAGGTGCATCCAGATCAACACTGATTGCAGCCTCCTCAACTCTGAGTTCTGCTTCATCCTCAAGGTTGGCTTATAGCTGTGAGGCAGGACAACAGGTCAAGGTGGTGGGTGTGGGGCTGGACCTGACCTACTCCCTCCACACATTCCACAGGTCCCTTTTGAGAGCGAGGACAACCAGGGCATTGTGTATGCCTGGGTGGGCCGAGCATCAGATCCAGATGAAGCCAAGCTGGCAGAAGATATCCTCAACACCATGTTTGATGTTTCCTACAGCAAACAGGTGACTCAGGTGGGGTGGGTAGGCAGAGTAGGCAAGGGCCTTGGGCTGAACTGATGACCCTTTTCCCATAGGTTATCAATGAAGGTGAGGAGCCTGAGAACTTCTTCTGGGTGGGCATTGGGGCCCAGAAGCCCTATGACGATGACGCAGAGTACATGAAGCACACAAGACTCTTCCGGTGAGGGCCCTGGCCTTCCCTCCCCAACTTCTTTCTCATTCCTAGCACTTGGCCTCACCTTGACCCTTGAACCCCAGGTGCTCCAATGAGAAGGGATACTTTGCAGTCACTGAGAAATGCTCTGACTTTTGCCAAGATGACCTGGCAGATGATGATATCATGTTGTTAGACAATGGGCAAGAGGTGAGACACCCCGCCCCCCCGACCCTGCCTATCCAAGGAGGAGCCCACCCATTTATAAATAGGAATTGTGGGGGCCAGGGATTTAGCTCAGTGGCACCACACCTGCCTTGCAAGTGCAAGGACCTGAGTTCAATCCCTGGTACCAAAAAAATGGAATTGTGGGACCAGAAGGGGAGTAATTCCCTAATCACCTAACCACTTACCCTATCCTCCCTATCCTCCCAGGTCTACATGTGGGTTGGGACCCAGACGAGCCAGGTGGAGATCAAACTAAGTCTGAAGGCCTGCCAGGTGAGAGAGAGGGGAAATGAGGTAGGGTAGGGTGTCTGAGGCCAGCCCAGCAGTGCTGGCGTCTCTGAGACCACCTGAGGCCCACTGCCACCTCCTTCCAGGTATATATCCAGCATATGCGGTCCAAAGAGCAAGAGCGACCCCGACGCCTGCGCCTGGTCCGCAAGGGCAATGAGCAGCATGCCTTCACTCGCTGCTTCCATGCCTGGAGCAGCTTCCGCCAAGCCCCAGCTTAGGCCATGCCTGTGGCCTGGGGTGAGGGGCCTTCTGATCACTTCTACTAGCTGAGAATGTACCCAGATGACAGCCCCTGGCCTGGCCACCCACCAGTGCTCCTGTACCCAACAGCACACAGCCCCATGCAGCACCAGTGGGGGTCTGGGAAAACAGCCTCCCCGCAGTGTGACCACACATGTGAAACCCCCTACCCGGGACAAAGCAGATGTGGTTGCTCTTTAAGAGATATTAAATGCTTTTATTTTCAATATTAAAAATCAGTATTCTTAATATTAAAACAACACTAACTTTTAAAAAAGGCCAGAAAAAAAGTTCAAGGTACAATCTACAGGGAAGCCCATCCTGATCCCCCCAACACACACATACCTAATAGCCCAGCTGAGATGCCCAGCAGGGTTCTCCATCACACACACACACAGGCTGAGGGCTGGCCTGGGGGCAAGTACCAAAATAGTTTTAGAAATAACTATCCAGACCAGCACTGGCATTAGAAAAATACTCTGCAAAGGGAGGATGGGTGTGTGTGGAGTGGGAGGTGGCCTGATGTTCAGCCCCGTCTGCCCTTTCCCAGAGGCAGCAGCCCCAGGGCAGCCACTTGCCCTAGGAAGGATTCAGCCAGCCTTGTCAACAGGCCCCAGGAAGAGCCCCTCAGAGGGCAGCTCCAGGGCCCAGTCTTGGTGGGGACAGGATGGCAGGTCCACTGGCGCCCACAGGTTAGCAGATATGGGTCTATGTTAAGGGACCAGGCAGAAGCCGGGGATCCAGGATGCCAGCTCCAGGCAGGGCAAGAGATGGCTGGGATCACGCTGGTCTTCCTGGTAGATGAAGACAAAGGGATCAGAGAGGGCAAGGGAGGAGGCTCAAAAGGGGCAGATGACCTGTCTAAAGTGTCCCAATAGTCAGACCTGGTCACACAAGTGCCCCCATGCCTCCTCCTATCCAGGGTAGGCAGGGCCCTTCAGTGATGGGCTTAGAGGGAGGCACTCTGGCTGGGTATCCAACTACTGCCGCACACCACCCACTGAGGACAGGGAGGAGCAGGGGTGACCCTAGGAGCAGACAAACAGGGACTATGCAGGGTCTGTGTGCAGCACAAGGTGGGTGGGGTACTAGGTGGCAAGTGGGCCAGGCAGAGCTTCAGGCTCAAGATAAGTAGGGTGTACCCTAAGATTCAGGCAGAACCAAGTGAGCCTCTGGCCAGGCTTGATGTGCCAGGTTCAACCCATGGGACCAACCTTGTGTGCCTCAGTGATCTCTCCTGTGAAAAGGCCCAGCCAAACCATCTCTGGTCTTTGCACTTCTAAGTTCCACACCCAGGATAGCCAAGAGTTAACATGCAGGACCTCTCTTCTGCCACCTAACTATGAAAATCACGCAGCATGGGTGCCCTAAGCCCCTTTTGGGACAACCCAAGGAAGGCAGCTAGGCCTCAGAGAGTGATCTCTGGAGGGGGCTTCCCTGTGGAGCCCAACAGGTTGGCAAAGCTGAGTAGGGAGGACCAGGTAGATGCAGGGCCCCATCCCTGTGGCACCTCATTTGATCAGGATGGTGCAGGCATGAGGTTCATCTTCCGCCAGGTTCCTCAGATTCTTCGACTCCTCAGAGCTGGGGCGGTGAACAGAGGATCAGTGTTGGGGGATGCCCTGATGGCCCTGGGGAGGGGAGCTTTGCAGACAAGGCAGCTGGCCTCACCCCAGGAAATCCTTCACATCCTCCACTGTGACATCCCCTGTCGTGTCCAATGTAGTGTCAGCGCTGGTAGCCGAGTCAATGGACATGGGTGAGAGTGTGGCCTCAGGCAGCTCTGGGGTGTCTGTAGGGAGGAAATGGTCAGCTCCTGCTGGGACCTCTTTGTACCCTCTGCACCTGGGGATACAGACCCTAACAGGCACATACCTGCCACTCCTCTGTGCAGCATCCAGCCCTGGCTCAGCTGCTGCCCCTGCAGAAGCCTGCCCCATCCCTGAGCAGCGTCCTCATTCCTCCCCATGACACCATCAGGCCACAGCCCGCCCCCATTCCGTGAGCGCCCCTCACCAGCTCCCTTGCTGTGGGCAGGATCAGGGCTTCCGTCATGGCTCTGGGGAGCCAGGATGATGCTTGGGGTTCCATTAGCCTGGCTCAGCTTGGGCGACTCTCGGACCCTGTGAGTGCAGAGGAACATGGCAGGTGCCACCTCCCTACCCTCCCACCCCTCACCCTGGAGAACAGAGAGGAGAGCTACTCCAGGGAGGGCAGAGCCCAGGGTGGGTTGAGACCTGGTCCTGGCCAGGGGTGGCCCCTCCACAAACCTGACCCGGGTGGAGCCGATGTCCAGAGAGCAGAGTGGCTCTGTGATGTTTCGGGCACTCAGGGAGAAGCGTTCAAATTCTGATGGGGAAATCAGGTAAAAGCCTAGGAGGGCAAGAGAAGAGGAAGTGCAGTCAAGAGAAGCAACAGCAGTCTTAGTGCTCAGCAGGTCCCTGCCCAACATGCTCACAGGATCTGTGCCACACCTGGAATGACCATTCCCTGGAAAGTCTAGTCCCATTCATGCCCCTCTTCCTCCCAACCACCCCACCCCGCCTCACCCTGGCCATGGCGTGTGAAGACACATGAGGCGATGCCACTGATGTCCTCCTTTCGAATACAGGAGTAGTGTACCTGGGGCCGCAAGCCAGGCACCGAGAAGACATGCACATCGCCCAGGTTGGTGAGGCAAGCCAGGCAGGTCTCGGCATAGTCCTCACAGGCCACACTAGCAAACGTGGCCAGGGCTACCTTTCGCACACGACAGCCCTCATGGGCTGTTAGCTTGAACTTGGTCTTGGCGCTCACCTTGGGCAGTGTGAACACCTGGTGGAAGATGGCCAATGAGCAGAACCTGGCCCTATCCTCAGGGCCCCTCACTTTTATGGCTACAGGGCACTAGCCTCCACCCCAAAGCCTAGCTTGCCCCACAGGCCTTAGCCCAACTATGCCCTGGACCACACTGCTACTCAAGACTTAAAGCAGCCTCCACTGGAAATTAAATCAAGCAACAGATCCTGAAGCTGTGTCTAGTACTCCCACCAAATATAAGCCTCTAGGGATTGGACTCAGGAGGTCCCACAAAGCCTAGAGCCTGAGGGGAGGGACAGTGAGATACCAGGGTCTTGGGGGAACTCAGCAGGCATCAGGGATCTCCTAGGAGGTCTCTGCTGGCTGGGGGCATTGTGATAGGGTAGGAAGGACTTGGAAAGCCTCAACAGTAGGCCATGGGCAGAGCAGGGGTTTCAGGGAGGGCAAGGGTGGGAACCCACAGCAGCTCACCTTAAACTGCTCCTCTGATGCAATGAGCACAGCATGCCCACCCTGCATGTCAGGCGCCTGTGCCAGGTCCCGAGAGGCCTCATAGGGCTCAGGCAGTGGGCGGCCACGTCCATCCAGCACAGCGATGGCCACTACAGGTGCCCGGTGCATCAACTGCACCTCTTTGCCCAGCACAGCCTCCACTGCCCGCTCAGGCCGCTTCTCACTTCCTGCCATGGCTGCTGGCACCTCCAGTGCATAGGCAAACACGGAGCCTGAGTTGGTGCCTGCCCACATAGTGGGCCCATGGTGGACCGCTGTGGGGGTAAAGCATGATGAGAGGGGGGCTCACTGCAGTCTCCCATATCCTGAGCTCCTCTCCCATGTCTCCTGTGCCTCCACTTCATAACTGTGGTGCCCAAGACTCATAGTGGACTCCTTTTCCCACACATCCTCAGTGACCTTGACCCATCTTATGGCTCCTTTATTCTGCTGACTTCAGTTGCACCCTGGAAGATAGCCCTCTGCAGAGGCACAAGTAACCTCAACAATATCTGCATAAGATGTCAGGGGCCCTCAGACAAACCAATCCCACCAACCTGCTGTACCCTCAGGCCCATCTCAGCAAACGTAGCTTCCCCCTCCTGTGACTCAGGCCCCAGGCCCCCATGCTGACTCTGCCCTCAGCAGCCTGCTCCCCACATGGTGGCCAGAGGGAAGCCCCAACGTGGAATAAAATGAACCAAGGCCCACCCAGAACACTATCCATCCTGCTTTGTGTGAACCGAGCTTCCTGATGAAGTACACAGCAAAGCCATTGAGGAGCTCAGTTCCCCAGTGAAAAGTGAAAAACCAATTCAAGCCTGACAGCTCCAAGGCAGGAGTCCAGCACAGGGACGTGGAGCAAATTAGAAACCTCCAGGCTAGGCTGGCACAGTGGTGCATCCCTATAATCCCATCTAGGTAGGAGGCTGAGAGGCAGGAGGATTGAAAGTTCGAGGGCAACTTTGGCAACTTAGTGAGACATATCAAGGGGGAAAAAAAGCTAGACATGGTGGTGTACCAATTACAGAGTGCTGTAATCCAGGTACTCTGGATGGCTGAGACAGAAAGATCCCAAGTTCAAGCCCAAGCTGGCCAACTTAGTAAGACCCTGTCTCAAAATAAATACATTTATTGATTGATTAATTGGTTTCATTTTGTTTTGCTGTTTTGGTACTGGGGATTGAACTCAAGACCTTGCACTTGCAAGGCAGGTACAGTGTCACCGAGCTAAATCCCCGGCCCTCGATTGGTTTTTTGAGACAAGAGTCTCACTGTATAGTTCAGACTGGCTTTGAACTCACTATGTAGTCCAGGTGGCCTCATATAATGGCAATCCTCCTGCCTCAGGCCTCCCAAGTTCTGGGATTACAGGCATGCACCACCATGCACAGCTTTCAGAGGGACACAATAGCATAGTGTGGGGTGAACATAAAACAATGGCAGACACCCAGGGGTAAGGTAAAGTGTGTGGAACAACTGTACATCCTCTATTTTTGTATCATTATACAAGGTAAAAATCAATCAATGAGATAATCAATACACCCAGGACCAAGAGGAAAAAGCTAGGCCCTCAGCATGGCAGCCAGCACCAGCCCTGCTTGAGCCTCTCCTTCCTCGCCCTTCTCATTCTAACCACACAGTCCAGCAGTTCCTCTCCTACTTGACCACTACAGGCCTTTGGCACCAGCCCTGTCCCTCACCATCAGGCTCCCTACTTCCTCCTCAGGCCTTTGAGGCCTGCCAGGCACACTCAGCAACTCCCATCATCGGTGCCCCCAGGGCACCCGTCACCAGCATACAGTAGGCACTTGGTGACACTTTGAAACCTCCTGGAAGATGTGCTGCCACCACTTCCCCCACCACTACTCATTTCCTAGATGTATAACTGAGCCCACCCGGTCCCTGTCTGTGCCCAGCCTCACCATCTCGAAGGAATGTGTCAGCAAAGTAGAGGCAGCGCACAACGCCTGAGAGGGAGTCATCAGCAGACCGAGGCTCGATGCGGCGCTGCACAGGTGTCATCTCCACATCATGGGGGCAGGCTTGCTCTGCCAGTTGTGCATTGGCCTCTTGCAACTGGAAGGAGCAGGGGCTCTGAATATGTCTTCCCTGAGCCCCTTCTGCCTGGCATCCAACATTCACCCTTATCCATCCACTACACTCCCAGCTTGCCAGCTCATTCTGGAGCTGCCCGGGGTCCAGGGGCAGGGCTCAGCCCCAAGCTAGCCTCAGGAGCTCACCTTGCTATTGGCATTAGCAGCCCGCTTCTTGCCCGAGACTCGGCTCTTGCGGATGCGCCGGAAAGACTGGCGCAGCGACTTCTTGAGGGACTTCACCCGGGACAGTGGCCCCTCCATGGCCAGGGAATCGTTTGGGTGAAGGGTGCACCTAGGGTCAGGCAGGAGCCAGCTGAGCTATGCAGCAACCGCCTTGCTCCTGCTGGCCCCAAAGGCTGGGCACTACGAGGCCAGGTCAGAGAACCAAACCTCTCTAAGACTGCCCCTTTGGTCCTAGCAGCAGATGGTCCTCAGAATATTCCTGAGGACCGAAGCTACAGGGGTTTTTATTTTACTTTCTAAATTTTTCATTGTTTTTGTTTTTGGGTTTTTGTTTTGGTTCAAGGGGATCAAACTCAGGACCTTGCTCTTTCAAGGCAGGCGGTGGAACCACTGAGCTAAATCCCCAGCAATTGTTTTTTTTTGGTACTGGGGATCGAACTCAGGACCTTGCACTTGTAAGGCAGGCGCAGTGCCACTGAGCTAAATCCTTGGCTCAGAGGTTTTTAAATCAGCTTGCCTTTGCCATACTTTAGAAAGGGAAATTGAGGCCATGACCCCATCTCACTGGAGCTCCAGCTGCTCACCTGCACCCCAACCCCCCAAAGCACCCCCCACATACCTGGCCAGTACTGGGCTCTTGCGCCGATAGTCAAAAAGGCCAAAGCCATGACTGGTGCCAAAGGCCACAAGGCTCCACTCCGTATGGAGTGTGACAGCGGTGACAGCAGCTGGGGGCAGGCACTGCACCAGCACACGGGGCTGGAAGCCGGCAGGCCACAGGAGTGGCCCTGTGCGTGGGCTCAGCCGCTCATGGCCCTTCCACGTGAAGCCCTCACGATCCTGGAGGAGGTCCACACTGGCTACACTGACCGCCTGCTCCGCTGGCATGTCACTGAGCTCCAGCACCAGTACCTGAACCCACAGGCAGGGGAGCAGTGTTAGCATGGAGGAAGGACCATTCCTGGGCCCCATTCAGCCTGGGACCTCAAATAAACACCCTAGCCAGTGCCAGGGTGGTCCAGGACTGTCTTCTGTTCATCCACCAAATAAGCACTTTTTGAATGCCTATTATATACCAAGGCCCCAAATGACCATTAAGCAACAGTGGAGGCCAAAACTTCTTGACCCCTGCCTCCCTACCCCCACCCTCGCAAAAAGACTCTTACTGAGCCTCTTTCATTTACCTATAAGCCCACACAGCATGCTCTATATATTATGCAACAACCAAGGACACAGCAGAGTCCAAGTCCTCACCAGTTTCTCCCTCTTAGAGTGAAGTGCCATGCCCTCTCCCCTGAGCCTCTGTCTCCCACTTAGCAATAAGCACACACTGAGCACCTTCTGAATACTGTATAATAAAGCACCAGAGGCATGGCAGTAACTGCCCTCCCAGAGCTCATCTGACACTGTTCCCAGCCTTGCCTCAACTCTCCACAGTTTCCTCACCAGAGTCTGACTCAGCCCCATGACAGGCCCAGTTCCAATTTGTGCTGCCACAGACAGCCCTACCTGGAACCCTATTCCCACTTCTGGGCTTCTGCTCAGGCTTGTCCGTTTGCCCCTCCACCAGACCCTTCATTTCAGACTCATCTTTCCAAAAGCCTCTCCCTGAGATTCTCAACTCAGGGACACCAGCCCTACCTGGCCTGCAGTGCCTGCCACCACCATCTGGGCTGTGTACTTGCAGAGGGCCACTTTCTGCACACCAAGCCGGGGATCATCACTGTAGGGGTCAAAGCAGCCCACCTGAGGGGAAAGGACAGAGTCATAACACCACACAGAGCCTGAACCAGCTCAAGGCCAGGGGATGGGGCCCACCTTGCGGAAGGGCGGCCAGTCATCCTCAGCAGCCTGGGTCAGGCTGTCCACGTGTTCACAGTCTGTCTGAAAGAGGCCAGCCGTGCTCAGCTTGTAGAGTGGCCGCAGTGCCACACCAGAGGCATCCCAGAACCGCACAGTGCCATCCTCATGGCTGCAGAGAGAGCAGTTATCAGATCGTCCCTCAGAGGCCCACACACCCCTGTGCCACTTGTCCAGTGGGCACTCAATGAGCACCTACTGCATATGCCAAACATTGGCTGGAACCCTACAGCTACCACAGTAAGCACCTATTCTATAGGACAAACACATATTCGGTGCCTACTATATGCTAGACCACATCCATTACTTGTATGTAGGCCCGTGGAGCAGGGTGGGAAAGCATGGAAATGACCTCCTTTATTATCAGGAAATGGCAGAGGGGGGAAACACAAGGAAGAGAAGGGCAGTTCTGCCCCACTGAGGGCGCCCAGCAATCAGAGCAGGCTGCCACAAATAGGAAGTAGGCAGTCACAGAGCTGAGCGCAGGGAATTCCTGGAGGGACCAGGTGGCCACATATACAGAAGAACAGGAAGACTGTGGCAATGAGGAGGAAGCAGGGAGGGAAAGGAGGAGGACCATACTAACTAGGGCACAGCCTCAGGACACAGCTATAGAACCCAAATGAGGCCCTTGGTAGGAGGGGGAGCCCAGAGCCAGCGCATGAGGGTGTGTGACTGGGGCAGGCTGGGACTCACTCCAGCAGCCTTGAGAGCCATAGCAAATTCTCAACCAAGGAGGGCACACTGCTGCCTCAAAGGCCCAGCGCAGGCAGGAGGGAAGGCAGGGCAGGAAGTAGATAGAGCCTGAGTCACCAGGCACGTCAGCACCCGCCAGGCGCAGTCAGGCTCTCTAGCACCTGCCTTGGGCAGCTCTGCGTGGGCCAGCCCAGATTTTCCAGTCCCAGGACAGGCAGGCTAGGTGGGTGGAGCCCTGGGGTCTGCTGGAACTCAGTTCTTGGCCAAATGCAGAACAGGGCAGGGCCTTGCACAGGATCTATGGAAAAGCTTCATCCAATCCACTCTGGGAAAGGGGACAATGTGGACCTGCTAGGGCCAGGCCTGAGTCACTTGGCACCTCAGTGTCTGCAGGACCTGGGATGGGCCAGGAACACACTAGTCCTGAAGTGTAAAGGGTCTCAATCCCCCCCAACCTACCCAGTCAGCAGCAGCCCTCGCTGTGATGGCTCTTGGGCCAGGTTCTGGCCCCCGGTGATGGGCCAGCTCTGGAAGGACAGTAGAGATGTAAGTACAAGGTCAAGATAAAGTTCTCCTCCCCCTCACCCTGAGCATGGTAATCAGAGCTCCCTACACATACTAACACATTCCCACTTCCAGTCCTGGGCCTGATCACTGCCCTCCACCAAGAATAAACCATGTCCCCAAGACCTTGCCCCACAGGTCACTGCAGCCCATACCGAGGCACTGGAGACAGGCTGCGGGCTCTGCTGCTCGCCAGCGCTCACAATTCGGGCCCAGAGCTTGGCAGGGACGTTAGCAACATGGGCAGAACAGGTGATGGCGGACGAGTGCAGCGGGGCCAGGTAGGGGGCAGGCACAGCTGGCCAGCCAGGTGTCTGCAGGTCAAGCACCACCAGCTCCTCCTCTAGCAGCACGGCTAGGGCCCGTGGGTTGTCGAAGTCTACAGGATGGGGCAGGGTGAGCTGGGCCACAGGCAGCACAGGGTGGGGAAGGGGCAGGGCAGGCACACACCATCCTCCAGCCCTGTGCTGTGCACTGTGAAGAAGTCAATGATGCGGGAGGTAAAGTCCAACGTCACCAGTGTCTCCGCTCGCAGCACACTCACACAGTGGCGGTCACCATAGCTGGCTCGGGGCATGCCACCACTGAAGATAATAAAGTGGCCCCTGCAAGAAGGAGTCATGTGAGCCCACAGCTCCCTGAGCCCAGAGCACACATTCTTCACCCCTGTGTCCGGAGCCCACCCTTTTAGCCCCCCAGCCAGATATAGCCCCCAACCCATTCATTCTTCTCCCTCAACCTACCCAGATTCACAGTTCCGCCACAGAATCTTGTTGATGGCCTTGCAGGGAAAGGGGCCTGGGGGGTGGGACAGCGTCAGACCTCCTGTTCCTGGTCTGTCTTGCAGCTGTCTCTTGCCTCTCCCCAGGAGAAGGCCCACTACCCTGACCATGCCCCCCACCAAGGCCAGGTGGCCCTCCCATCACCACCCTCCAGTTCAGGCTTCTCCAGCACTCACCGTAGGGTGTGGTGGCCACAGTGGGCTGCAGTGTCAGGGAGCTGCCAGTTTCCACCGACCAGACAGCATAGCTGCCATCGCTGTGTGAGCTGATGATGGTGCCACCGCCCCGCCCCCAACACAGGCTCTCCAGTTGCTGTAGATGGGAGCAGGCGGGTGTGAGTGGCAGGTGCATGCGGGGGCCCAGGCTCAGGGAATGCAGGCCTCACCCACTTACCTGGTTCCCCAAGAAGATGTGGTCCACACACCGTGTAACCTGATTCCAAATGACCAGCAGGCCTCGGCTATACCCAATGAGGATCTTAGTAGGGTCCACGAGGTGCCCCTGGAGTGACTCCACAGGGCCCAAAGCCTTCCCACACCGGTAGTCATCTGGCACACTGCAGAGGGAGCCATTGTGAGTTAGGAGAACTTCTTGAGCACAGTGGATGCTGGAAAGCCCTCTGCCTCTCACCTGTGCAGAACCTCATCTGGGCTGAGGGTCTGTCCCTCCAGCAGCATCAAGGTGGTGACATCCAGGAAAAAGACAGTACCACCCTCAGTGCCCAGGACAGCTGTGTCATCAGTAGCCACCAGCAAGACCACTGTGATGCGGGTGAGGCTGGCAGGTGCACTGCAAGGGATAAGAGGAAGAGGATGAGGTGCAAGCCCACTTACCTGCTGAGGAGGGCATTGTGGGGGAGGTCTGGGCCCTCACTGTTGGCTCATTCCAAGCCCTCTGTACTGATAGGGCCTGCTTGTAGAGCAGGTGGGCACTGCAGGAAGGCAACTGTGGTGTAATTAGCACACTCAATTATTCATAAGGATGTCGACAGGCTGAAGGATAAAAATAGGTTCCCAGGTCTTTAAGAGGGACTCCCCACTCCTCCCAACACCAGGAGGAGAAGGCAGGAATCGAGACATTGCCCCATCCAAGACTAGGAGGTCTAGGACAGACCCAGCGTCCCTGAATCCCATGAAGGAATCCTGCTGCAGCCCTCCAGATGCCTCCTGACTGCAGAGGGCCCCAAAAAGCCCCAGCCAGTAGAGGGTAGGACTGCCAGGGAGCCAGTCCCTGGGTCAGGATTCCCCTATTCCAGCCACTGCAGGCCAGGCTGGAAAGGGAAAGTGTCTTGTACTCTCGCTGGGGCCAGGCCACTCAGCTATACCTGGGCACCCTGCCTGAACCTCACCAAGGACAGCTCACAGGACCCACTTGCCTCCAAACCTGCCTTTTCACTCACCCATGCACACAATGGCCCATCTCCCAACCCATTCAAAAAGCCGAGGATCTTTGCTGATGTCAGCTTGATTCAAACTATGCCAAGCCCCCAGACTGCCTCATCACTGTAGGAAGCACAATGGGAGGCTGGAGATCCAAGTTTAGCATGTACCATGTGTGTCTCCTGGGGCTCATAGCACTAAAGGTTCCCACAGTCGGGTGGCACCTCCCCTCTACCCCAGAAAGTCCAGAGCGCTCTCAGCTAAGCAAGGTCCTCCTAGGCTGTGTTCAAGGCACCCCTTACCCTAAACCTCAGCCTACTGGCTGCTGCCAGTCACCATCGTGCCTTGGCACAGCTGGCTCCCAATGGTCTCCCTGGGAGCTCCTGCCCATCAAATTTGCCCCAGCCAAGTTCTCTAGTACCTGACACCTTCATAGCTGGGCCGGCTGGGTGGCTGGAAGCTGAGTGCTTCCTCCAAGTGGGCACAGCCATTATGGTGGATGATCTCCCAGAGATGCAGACTACTGTCATCCAGCAGAGTCAGGAGGCGGCCCTAGAGGGTGAGCAGAGACCAAAACTGGGCTGGTCTGGCTGGGTGGTAGGACATGGGGACCACAAGGGTTTGGCCAGTGGGGGACAGAAGCTCACCTGGCCAGACAAGAAATGCATCTGGGTGACAGTGGCCGCATCTCTGTGTAGGCCTGTAAACTCCACACCAGGTGCACCATAGCTGAAGATGACTGATTAAGGACAGGAACACATAGGCACAGGCCAAAAAACTGTAGTATGAGAAATGCACAAATCTCCTTCCCTGGGACTATTCTGACAAACCCTGCCCTGACCTACCTGTCTAGATCTCTAAGACCCAGTGGGGCTCCCTCCCTGAAACAGTTCCAGTTCTATACCCCCAAGGTATACTGGCTCAGAGTGTAGGCTCCACACTGCTACAGTAAGCAGGATACTATCGTGGGACCTTGACTTGTTTATCTGTAAAATGGGCCTACTGCAGATGAAGTGAAAATAAAAACCTACCCAGCACAATTACCCCAGACCTGGCGCAAAGCTGGGGCACTACTCCACTTCAGCCTCAAGTGAATTTGTGTGTGCCTGCAAGTCTGGCAGGTTGGGATCAAGCAGGTCAGAGACACAGGAGAATGGTGAACCCCAAAGGCAGAGAAGATTCCAAACTGCCTCTTAGCACAGCTTCAGGCCCAAAGAAACCACCTATTTCCAGGCAGGTAGCCAATGGTCCACACTGCAAGGAGGCAGGGACACCACCCCACCCATTTTACAGATGAGTACACAGGGACTTAGAGAAGGCAGATGACCTGCTTGAAGCAATCAGTGCCAGGGCCTAGTGTTGTAGCAACTCCAGGGTTGACGGTGGACAACAGGGCAGAGGGGGCCCAGGAGAAAGGCTTTAGGGATGTTGCCACAGTGACAAGGCAAAATTCATTGCCTGGAGCCTGAGCTGGGATTCCCTGTAGGAGCCTGGTGGGGGCAGAGGAGGCGACAAAAGAGGGGGTGGGGGCAGGAGCAGCTGGGCAGAAAGCAGGGTCACCAAGGAGATAGGGCCAGCCCTGTAGGGGCAGAGGCAGCATTTGAGACCAGAGCTGGCCTCTCCAGCCTCAGTTTCCCAATCCCAGGGGCTCTATCCAGGTTGTGGGGGTTTAGAGGAAAAGGGAAGCAAAAGGGACCCAGGGCTGTGTCCTCCCCTTTGAGGCTCAGGGTACTCATTGGCACTTCAGGTTCTCTGTGAGCATGAAAAGGCACACACAGGAGACCCACCACAGGAGGGGCAGCTCAGAGTGCGTGCAGGCAAAGCCAATGCGTGAGATGTGGATGCTTGTGACATGGAGAAAAGGCTGCATAGACATGTATGAAGGTAGCACAGCACCCATGAGGGGTGGGAATAGCAGGCCAGGTAAGGGGCCAGGGCCCACAGGAGATGAGAGAACATCTCTGCCTACTGCACTCCCTAGAGCAGCCAATAAGCTCACAACCACAGGCTTTCACACCCACCTGCTGCCCAATGCTCCCAACCCTGGGATGAGAAGACTACCCCCAACCCAATCCCCCACTTTAGGCACTGATTTATTTTCTAACATCTGATGTCCATAACCAAGGTATGAGGACCCACAGCACCACATGGGGAGAGGGAGGAGTTGGCATGCTCACCAAGCAGCTGCTAGCCAGACAGACTCTGCACCTCAGTTTCCCTCAGAGCAGTTGGGGTGGGATTCTCTAGGATGGGCAAGAGGCATTCAGCTGCCTGCCAGTTCCCCACCCCCACCCTGGGCCTTCAGGGAAAATGCTCGCTTTGTGCAGCTCACACAGTCTATTGTGCAGTCGCCAGGATCCAGGTGGGGGCTGAGCTGCACTCACCATGCTGAGCCTGGCACTGCCCCACCCCCTTGGCTGAACACACGTGTCTTCACATTTACACATGTGTGTACCCAACTTACCAGGGCCCCCAGCCCACCCACCACCCTCAATGGGTTCATGGCCCAGCCCCCTGGCCCAGCCTCCCCAGTCACAGTTGCTGGGACAATGGCAGGGTCGCCTAGGAAACTGGCTGGCTGAAACAGTGTGGGACAGCTGTGGACACTGCAAACTGAGCTCCTTCATCACCCCTCTCCCAGCAAAGGATCCCATGGTCCCTAAGGGGAGTCATCCCAGGCTTGTCAGGCACACAGGCAATGCCAGCCTCCTCCAAGATCCCAGTTCCCACTGCAGCCACCACAAAATACCTACCAGGGCTGGGAGCCTGGCTTGCAGGGAACTGCTCACAGGTGGCCCAAACAGGGGCCCTGGGCCACAGCTGCAAAGGATACATCTTGACGGCCCCAGACCTGGTGCCGATAGCCATGATTCGAAGTTCAGGATCGAAGGCCAGGGCACTGGGCTGATTGGGGAATCCATGCTCCACAGTCTGTGGGGAGGGAGGGCTGCTGGGGACACATTCCTGGGCACTGTAGCCCCATCCACTCAGAGCCTACCAAAGACAGCGGCCTCCAGTCTCTGCTGCTGATGTACTGGGGAAAGAAGGCAGGTCCACTTGCTCTCAGTGCCTCAGTGTCCTCAACTGTTAAATGGGTGATTGTGCCTCCAGTCACTGGGGAGATGGCTGCTGAATCCCTGACTTTCCTGTGTGTGGCTCACATAGGCTATCTACCTTTTCCAAGCTCCAAATTCTCCTCAACATCCATGTCAACACCTCCATACACAAGGCTCTAGTAACAAATAGAATAAGGCTCAGAAAAGTAAAGGCACCGGAGAGGACCCCACCTGCCCCATGGTATTCTGTACCCCATTTTTAGAGGCACAAGCTGAAGCTTGATAAGGAACCATGCCAGGGTCCTATGCGAAGTCCATGCACTCCTCAAACATGGCCCCAGCATGGAGGCAAGAGGTCTAGGTTAACATCCAGGATCAGGTAGGCACAGGCAGACTGAGACCCAGAGAGAGATAGCTTCCTGTCTGACCCCTGAAGGTGTCACCCACCTCCCCACCCAGAAACTCCCAGGTAACTTAGTCTCAGCCTATCAAGGAAAGGACCTAAGAGGACTTATACTGTAGTGTCTGCCTGAGAGGCTCCCTGGGGAACCGGCACACAGGGACCCCACCCTGTTCAGGTGGGGATAACTGGCTTCACCTAGGTGTTTGGCCTTGCACTAATCACAGTACCTCCAAGCCTGTTTTTCATTGCTCACTCTTTTGTCCTCTACTGGGCACTGAAACAGTGAACCCATCTGAGGACAGAGTTGTCCATCCACCTGGGGGTTCATGAAGGCTTCCCTTTCCCACCAGCACGGCCATGTTCTGACCTTAACTAGCCAGCCCCAGGCTACAGTCTAGTGTCTGCTTGGTCAGGCACACAGGAACATCTGTATTGTATCCCCACACCCTTGAGTGGACCCTACCAGGCTTCTGCTTTACAGAACAGACTAGGTCATTTGTCCAGTATCTTTGTCCTTCACACCCCAAGTCTAATCCATTCCTGAGCCTCATTAGCTTAGCTTCAAGATACACAGAAGTCTCTCTTCATGCATCCTACAGCCACCAACCCCAACACCTCCCCCAACATCTCAGTCCAGCCTGCAAGGCTCCACAGCCACTTGCCTAGACTAGGGCTTGCTATAGTCTGTTCCCCACTCTGAGGCCAGAAAGAATCTGCAAAAACCATGGTCAGCTCCCTGCCCCCTTCTATTTATGATCCTCCAAGGGCTCCTGGCTCATGCACAGTCAAAGCCAAGTCTTCATTGTCTGGCCCTCTCTGTCAACATCTCCTCCTCTCTCCCTGGCTCATCTGATCACAGGCCCAAGGCCCTGTTAAAGGTCTCTTCCAATTCACAGGCAGGCTCCTGGCTCAGTGACTTTGCATCTACTTCCTTTCTGCTCCTACTGCACTTCATTACTCTCCAGGGCACCTGCTCCAAGAGGCCTCCCTAAACCATCCTGATGTTCGAAGTACCCCTACCCATACTCCCACACCCTCATCCTGCTTTATTTTATCCACAGCACTGGCCATTATCTGAACTACTGTGTACTTTACTTTTTTGTTTTAGCTTTCACTGTCTACATCAGCTCCTAGCTGTATTTGTCCCTTTTGGTTTTCACTGTGCCCCCAGCATCAAGATGTAAGGGCTCAGAATTAGATATGAAGTGCACATTTCACAGGCAACTTATGGCTTGGAGGTGGGATATGAACCTGAGTCCTAGAGTCCAAAATCCACATTTACTCCTGAGGTGGGTGGCAAACTCAGGAATCTCATGCCTAGGGTTCCCCTACCATCCCTTTTGGCAACCAAACCTTTTCCCCAAGACCACTCCCCCCACACACTGCTTCCCTCTCTGAATAGAGCCTCATCCTCAACTTACTGAGACCCTGTCTAAAAATAAAAAGGGGACAGGATGTAATTCAGTGGCAATGTGCCTGTCCAGTATTCGAGAGGCCCTGAGTTCAATCCCCAGTACTGGGGGAAAAAAAAAAAAGGTAATACAGTTTAATTCTCTTCACTTTCTGCCACCCTAGGGTCAACCTGTATGAGCCAAGGCTCAGAGCCTCACCCTTCATTTGCTGCAGATCCCTAGATGTGTACACCTCAATTCACTAGCTGAGAAAGTAACATTTAGCCCAGTGCCTACCCCTGCCTTCCTGGAATGGACAAGCTCTCACTTCAGGGGGGATCACCCTTACAGCCACCCCAGCACAGGAAGAAACACCATTTGGGGATCCCTGAGCACCAGCCTCCCCTCTCAGGTCCCTGGCAGGTCCTCAGTCAGCCACACTACCACCATCTGGGACCTCGGCCTGACACATCCCAGAAATTCCCCTGTGAAAGTCTCCTCAGGGCAGCCCAAGGCAGCTCAGAATCACAGCAGCCCCTCCAAAACTCCCTGTCTCTCAAGGCTGAAGCCCAAGACCACCGTGGAGGGACTCAACACAGTGGCCCAGCTTGCTCTGTGACTTTGAGAAAACCCTCACACCCTCTCTTAACTTCAATTTTCTCACATGTGTGGTAAAGATAACTAATCCCAAACAGAAGGGACATAGATAGCTTTGGGGTAAAACTGAGTCCCCAACCAATCCCCTACACATGAGAGAAATTAGCATGGAGCAGGCTGAGCCTCATGCTACCTTTCATCAGTGCCAACTAGGCAGAGGCTAAAGGCCTTTCCCAGGGCCTGTCTTGTCCCACCCAGGGAAAGAAAAAACACCTGTCCACCTCCACTCGAGTTGGTGCCAAGTGTCAGGTCAGCTGGCTCATGGAAGCCAGAGCCCACAGCAAGGAGGAAAGTCGCCCCATTCATAGCTGGGGAAATTGAGGCATCACGATTTGAAATGCAGTTAGGTACATAGCTGGCTATGTAGCCTGGATACAACGTCTGGCAGGGCAGAACAAGGCAAGATAGGGTTTGGGGTAGTGAGGGAGGGGAGAGGAGGCTTCGGAAAGGGATTTCCCTGCCCCATCCCCCATTTCTGCCACCACTTCTCACCTCTCCCTGAGGAATGGGTGCCAAAACAAAACAAAGGCCAGACCTGGGTTATCCCAAGGGCCGCCCAGGGGCCACCAAAGAAAAACAGCGAAAGGCTGAGAGGTAGAGACCCCACAGAAACAGAGAGACACGCACGGAGAGACAGGCAAAAACTTGGGAGATGCAAAAGCAAAAACAGAAAGAAATGAGAGGCAGAGAGCTAAACGGAAACAGAGAAGAGATGCGGAGAGGTGCACAGGGACAGACGCAGAAAGTCGTCCCCCCCCCCCCCCCCCGACTCAGGAGAGGGAGACGGTCACAGATGCAGAGAGAGGGGCAGGGACCCAGAGAGACGCAAAGAGTACCAAAGAGACGGAGAGACTCAGAAACAGAGAAGGGCAGGGCCGGGGCCAGGGCCAGTGAGGCCCACAGAGCGCCTGGAGAGGCATGCACGAAAGTCAGCGAGACCAAGACCCACCCAGAGTCCGAGCGGAGGAAGAAGGACGCAGGCGGCGGGGCCCGCGAGGGACGCGAGGCTCCCGCCCCGGCCCCGCGCCAGCCGGACGCCCCCTCCCCCCGGCCCGACGCGGCTGCGGCTCCGGCCCCCGGCCCCCGGCCCCCAGCTCGGGCCCCAGCCCGGCCCCCACGCCCCAGCCCGGGCCGCTGCTGCACCTTGTTGAAAGCGAAGAGCTCCTGCTTGAGTTTCTCGCGCTGCGGGTCGGCGCCCTGCCTCCGGAACCGAAACTTCATCATCTTGCGCCCGGCTGCCGGCGCCGCGCCGCCGCCACCGCCACCGCCACCGCCGCCACCGCCGCCACCGCCGCGTCAA